GGGGTGTGGGGTGGGGGTGGGGAAGGGGTTCTGAATTCCTTGCTTTGCGGGTGCCTGGCCGGACAGACCTTCCTCCACTCTGTGCCTCAATTTCTCTCTCAGTAAAGCCAGGAGGAAGCAAGATAACGGACAGTAATCACACCTGCACCTTCCACTGAGAGCTACCTCAGGCCTGTCTCCGCAGAGGGCTCTCACACCGTCCTGTTTCTCCATAACCTACTCCGTGATGTGGGCCTCACTGTGCTCCCCATTTCGTAAATGACAAAACTGTGACTTGGACAGGTAAAGTCTGTGGACTTGTGACCTTCTATGATCCGGAGCAGCGGAGGGGAAGCAGGCAGACCCGGGTCTGAACGTGGGGTGCCTCCCAGCTGCGTGTCCTTGGGCATATCCCGTCCCTTCTCCAAGCCTCAGTATTCCCATCTGGGAAATGGGCTCACAGGAGCTCCCCAGCAGGGCTGGCGCATGGCTTCCCTGAAAAGATGGGTTAGCACTCGCTGAATATTAACTGTGATCACTTCTGTCATCTGCACTGGCTGCCCGCCTGGGACACACGTAGCCTGGGGCCTAGCACTTCCGTACTGGGGTCATGGAGAAATGCAGCTAGTCTTGTGACTGGCCTTCGACTGGAGGGGTGGAAAGCAGCCTGCGGGCCTGGGTGTGAATCCTGCCTCCCCCACTTTCTGGCTATGACGCTGAGGTACATTTTTAACCTCCTGGGGCCCCGGTAAGTTGGGTTTGGACTGTTCCTGTCTCATGTGTTGTGAGGGCTGCACCCAGAAGGGTGTCTGGCCCACACTGGCAGCTACGTAAATGTCTGCTGTTGACTTCGTGGTCACCTTCCCGCCCCCTGCGGCAGGTGCTATCAGCTGTCTAACCCACGACTGTTTGCTCTCCCTCCTCCCTTCCCGCAGACACCTGACTCAGTTCCCCCTCCCTGGGCGGCCTGTGGTTGCGGGAATGCGGGCTGAGCCCGGGGGCTCCTTTTCCGGGAGCCCTACTCCCACTGCAGTAATTCCGTCCCTCCTGCTGATGACAGGTGTGGGTGTGGGGGTGTCTGGGCTCAGAAGGCATGAGGGGACTCTGCTGGGGGCTTCAGGAAAGGTCTCTCTGCTCTGGAGAAAGGGCAGGCGAGCCCCAGAAGTCCTGTTTTCTGCCTCGGACAGAGTTATGCAAAGAGATGCGGGTGGTACACCAGCCGTTGGGGACTGTGAGAGTGCGAACAGGTCGGATCAAGACGGTGAAGCTCCACCCACACAGGACCCGATGCTCACCAGAAGGGCCCGGACTGCCTCAGCCACAGCCCCCTTCTCCTCCTCCAGACTCCGGATCTGCTCCCGAAGCTGCCTCAGCTCCTGCCAGGTGGCGATCTGGGGGTGGACACAGGAGGGGACGGCATGAAGTAGCCACCGTCTCCTGCCCCCTCTCGCTGGAGCCTCGGCCTCTGGCCACCTGGACCCCAGCAGCCAGTGTCCCCTCTATCCCTCCCGCACTAGACCTCCCTGACGTGAAGTCCATGGCTGCCCAGAATGAAGAGGCATCTCCCAGCCTCCCTCACAGCTCCGTGTGCTCCTGTGTCCAAGTTCAACCAGTGGACAGGAGGAGAAGTGGCAGTGGGACTCTGGGTCGTCTCCTTAGAGATAAGCCCCCATGTCGGACTTTCTGTCTCTCACTCCCCTTGGCCTGGATGACGGACTCTGAGGAGAGTCAAACTGGACAACATCCTCAGGGATGCGGAGCGAGAAGGTGAGGGGACCCAGGTGCCAAGGGGCAGGGACCCTGCCAGTGCTCACCTCGGAGTCTTGCAGAAGAGAGAGACAGCCACTGTCCTATGGGGCTGCTGCGCCAAGCCTGTCCCCCAAAACGGCAGGCTCAGCTCTCCTTCATGGGGACCCCTACTGCTGTGCGGTCCCTCTGTGAGCCCACGTTCCCGGGCAAACCCCCTCACCTCCCAGGCTGCAGTTCTCCCTTTGGCTAAATGGCACAAAGGACACCATCCTCCCTCTCGGGGGCTGAAAGCAGGAAGCGGAGGGCAAGCCACAAGGTGGCTCCCCCTGGATGTCTCCTGGACACTTCATGCTCACTCTGTGCAAGAGTGACTCGAGGACAAGCATCTCTCCCCCCAGATCTGCTCTTCCTCCTCAGGCACAGCCCCACAAACTCCCATCCCGCAACCCAGAGCCCTGAGCCCCCTACTGGATGCTACCCGGACCCTTCTGCCCCAGGAACATCCGTCAGGTCTGTCCTCCTCCCATTCCCCAACTCCTGCCCCCATCCAGAGCCTGTCCTCTCCTGCAAGGACCCCTGTGCCAGCCTCCCAGCCTGCAGGCTATCCTCCTCCAGCCAGAGTTCTGACACAAACCCTCTCCCACCCGAGAGCACCCACAGCTCCCCAGGGCTCCTAGGAACAATTCACATGCCTTGTTACTGCCCAGAAAGCCACATGCCATATTCCTCTTCACACTTCATGCCCTAAAGACGTGTTTTTCAAGCTTTGGGATGTGATCCATTAGCAGCTTATAAATAATTTAGGATCTTTAAACAAGCTCTTTAAAAGATAGGGATGGGGACACCTGTGTGGCTCAGTCCATTAAATGTCTGACTTTGAATCAGGTCATGTTCTCGGGGTCCTGGGATCCAGCCCTGTTCAGGCTCTGTGCTCACTGAGGAGTCTGCTTCTCCCTCCCCCTCTGCCCCTCCCGCAGTTTGTGCTCTCTCTCTCTCTAATGAAGAAATAAAATATTTATATAAAAGGCTATGGTAAACTATGCATAAAATTTGCCATTTTAACTATTTTAAAGTGTACAGTTCAGTGGCATTAAGTACCTTCACATGGTCGTGCAGCCTTCCCCACCATCCATCGCCAGAATTTTATCTTTCCAAATGGAAACTGTACACCCATTAAACAGTCTCTTCCCATTCCCAGCTCCTGGCAACCACCCTTCTATTTTCTGTCTTTATGAATCTAACTACTCTAGGCACCTTGTATGAATGGAATCATACAGTTCTTTTTTTTTTTTTTTAAATATTTTATTTATTTATTTGACAGAGAGAGATCACAAGTAGGCAGAGAGAGAGAGGCAGAGAGAAAGAGAGGGGGAAGCAGGCTCCCTGCTGAGCAGAGAGCCCGACACGGGACTTGATCCCAGGACCCTAAGACCATGACCTGAGCCAAAGGCAAAGGCTTAACCCACTGAGCCAGGTGCCCCCAGTTCTGTCTTTTTGTGATAGCCTCATGTCACTTGGCATAAGGTCCTCAAGGTTCATTCAGGTTGTAGGCTGCATCACAATTTCCTTCCCTTTTCAAGGCTGAATTGTATCCCACTGTCCATATATACCACATTTTGTTTATCTATTCACCCATCCACGGGCACTCAGGTTCCTTCCATCTTTTGGCTACTGTAAGTAATGCTGCTATGGCCTGATCATATGGTAATTCCATGTTTAATTTTTTTGAGGAACCACTACCCTTCTTTTTTTTTTTTCCTTTTAAAGATTTTATTTATTTATTTATTTGACAGAGAGAGAGAGAGAGAGAGAGAGTGAGAGAGGGAACAGAAGCAGGGGAAGTTGGAGAGGGAGAAACAGGCCTCCCACTGAGCAGGGAGCCTGATGTGGGGCTCAATCCCACAACGCTGGGATCACGAACTGAACCAAAGGCAAAGGCTTAAGGCCTGAGCCACCCAGTTGCCCCACAGCAAGAGAGGGAACAGAAGCAGGGGGAGAGGGAGAGGAAGAAGCAGGCTTCCCAGCCAGCAGGGAGCCTGATGCAGGGCTCGATCCCAGGACCCTGAGATCATGACCTGAGCCGAAGGCAGATGCTTAAGGACTGAGCCACCCAGGCACCCAACCACCACCCTTCTTAATTTTCCTGAGCCTTAGTTTTTCCTCTGATGAAATGGGGACACCCACCTCACACCGCGGTTGTGAAACTGAAACGAGGCATGTATGCACACAGCACTTAGAACAGACCATCCTCAGCATCCAACAAGGTCTAGCAATATGGTGACTCTGGTTCTCGGTCCCTAGCATGTAGTAGTATATTATTTATCAACTTATTCTCAACACCTGCGACATAGTAGATGCTCCTTAAATAACCGTTCAATAGAACCATTCATTCATTCGAGAACCCTATTTAACTGCCTGCTACTTGTCGGGCAGCGGCAGGACTCGATCTCTTACTCTCCAAAGCCAAACCCCTCCACCCTCGTCTGACTCACCTCCCTGTCCCCTAGTTTCTTCCCCCTCCCCCCATTTTCTTTTGTCATCTTAAGCCTGGCATGAGGTTGGAGTAAGTTCCTAAGCGCAGAGGAGGTACTCACCACGCTTTATGGAACGCATAATGGGTGTGTAGATAGCAGGGCCCTAGCACTCCGTGGATAACTGGCACACGTATGCCTGCCAAGCACACGTCGGCTAATAACTGGGGAAGGAACTAAAATTCCCGTAATAGGTCGCCCCCTGCTGGAGGTATCTTGCAAGCCCAGTTGGGCTCCGCAGCCAATGGCCCACGCAAGCGCACTCACGATCGCCGGCAGGTCTTCTGGCCGTAGCTCCCCCTTGCGGAGCTGCAGGGCGCGCGCAGCCTCTTCCGGGCATGCGCACAGCGACTCCATGTCCAGCTGAGGGAGTGCACTGTAACCCTCGCGCGCGTGCTCGTACAGAAGATTCCGGTCTCGTCTCTCCGTGGCAAAAGTTCTCCTAGGGTTATGGCTGCAGACGCAGCCTCTCCGGGGCCGAAGACCCCAACCAGCCACCAAAGACCCCAAACGCCGCACCATGGACACAGCCATCTTGGACCGGGGACAAGGAGTTACGCACCCTTCGTCCCGCCCACTCCGCGTTTAGACCAATTGCAAAGCAGCCGCGCCTCTCGTGCCTCAAACACAGTCCGACTAGAAAAATTGACCGAGATTGACTGTGTCTTTGACCAATCGTTGTTTGTGTCCCGCCCCTTCAGTGCAAGAGAGGCAGATCCAGCCAATCCCTGCCGGGATGACCTCCGGAAGTGGCTTGAAGCCGGTTCAGCGTGTCTGCGGACCCTGCTAGGGTCGGTGAAGTTGATATGAAATCCTCGGGTTCCCGAAATCTCCCTGGCCCTGTCCTCAGTTTCTTTTCTCCTCCTGTATGTCGGGGGTGGGGGAGGGAGGTTGCTAGGTGCCCGAGAGCCTACTCAGAGCGAAACTAAATTTACGGGGAGAATTTCTGTCCGCAGCATGGATTGTAGTCAAACTATCAGAGGAAATTCCTTGGACTTAATCCGCAGGCTCTGAGGACGGGATGGGGAGAATTGGGGCCCTTCCCCGACTCCGGCCATTTTCCCCTTTTCCTTCCTGATTCTCTCATCCCCTAACACAGGGACCCTTCAGGCGGCGGGATGTTCTGGTCCGGCCTTCTCCGTGGCCTCAGCACGTCCCTAAATTATGGTAAGTTGGGGACTTGAGCTGCAGAGACGCCGCTGTACGAGGGTTATTCCCTATGGGACTTGTGTTCCTCTGCCGCAGCCCTGGGGGGAATCGGGGTTTTAAGTTTGGGAGGCACGGATGCACGGTGGGTTTTAGCGGAGCTCGGGCTGCAAGGGCAAGAGGTGGGAAGTCGTTGCCTTGGGGGCGACTATGCATCGTCAGGTGGGTACCGGGAGTTTGGTTCAGTTTCTGATTTCTTCAGCAAATACTTAATAATCTCCCGTGGGTGAGACATCCAAGCAAAGGGTTGGTCTTAGTGTGCGCCAGACAAGGAGAGGGATGCTTTATTTGTTCTTATGGGCTCTGCAGACATAGGCTTCTCATGGCCAGATCCTTTGCGAAGTATCTCAGTCACTCACTCTGCAGATTTTATTAAGCACTTTCTGGTTGCCACTCACTAAGGATCCCGTGACAGGCTTGCGCTCTGCCAGGGAATTCTGGGCTAGCTTGACACGCATCTCTCACTGTAACCTCTCGTACACCATACTCAAGGCGGAGGTGTGACTCTGGTGCCTGTGATGTGGTGAGGACCCTGAGGCACTGAGGCAGAGTCTTGCTCAAGGGCATACCACTAGGAAGAGGCTTCTAGCAACATCTCACCCCTTTGAGGATTCTGTGTAACTTGACATGTAAGGTAACACGAAAATGGATAATAGAGCCAGGCCCCCCCGGATAGGGAGGGAGTGTAAAGTTTGGGTGTAAAAGGGCATCTGTGCTAGTGACAGGAAAGGGATGAACCTAGAGTCTTGAATTGGAAGCTCCAAGAGGGTATGTCCAGGGCCATCTCTGTCACCGTCGTGCCTCCATTATTGGGGCCAAGATGGTAGGTATTCGGTAAATGTTTGCTCAAGAGAAGCTGGTTATGGTGGCATCTTCTTAACATCCTATCCGTGAGCAAATCTGTCAGTCTGCCTTGGAAATATATTCCCTCCCTGAACTGTCCTTCTTACTCCACTGCAGCCACACTGGTCCCCTTTCTGTTGGGTGTGTCTGGGGACACCAGCTGGAGCATGATGAGCAAGGGGGCAAGTAGGGAGAGGAGGTCAGGGAAGTGATGGGGCAGAGCACCTGGGGCCTCCTGGGCCACGGAAAGGACTTTGGCTTTTCCGAGTCAGATGGCACCGTAGGAGAGAGGGCTCTGAGCAGGGAAGGGGGGTACTGATCTGACCCCCGTGTCCACAGGGTCCCTCTGGCTGGATGTGGGGACCAGACTATAGGAGGGAGAAGGAGGGCTCAGTAGACGAGGCTGGACAGGACCAAAGGGATGCAGTGGAGCAGGGAGGAGAGGGTCCGTAACAGTTTGGGGGACGTCATCTGCTCATGGGGGTTAGAGGAGGGACACCTCCCCCGAACACCCCATTGGGTTGCTGTAGGGATGACGCGAGTTCACATAGGTACAGGGCATAGACCAGTCCATGACGTGGTGTGAATCTGTTCGCTTTTATTGTTTGCAAACAGCCCTAAAGTCAGTGCCTTCCTTGCAGAATAAAAGGAGCTAATTCACATTAAATGTTTAAAACAGAACCTGACACGTAGGTGTTATTACTCTTATTTGTGACTACCCCCAGACGGAAACAAGTACATCCTGGGAAAGTGCTTGGAACTGTGCCTAGAACTCTTACCCATTTGCTGGGGTAACAGCCTCCCCTCCCGGTTGTGTGTCTCCAGGCCTAGCCCTGGCCACCCGGCCCATGGCCACCCTGAACCAGATGCACCGCCGAGGGCTTCCCAAGAGGCCGCCTCCACCTCTAGGCCCCACAGCCGGCCGGCCGCAGCTGAAGGGAGTGGTGTTGCGCACGTTCATCCGAAAGCCCAAGAAACCCAACTCAGCCAACCGCAAGTGCTGCCGCGTGCGGCTCAGCAGCGGCCGAGAGGCCGTGTGCTTCATCCCCGGGGAGGGCCACAGCCTGCAGGAGCACCACGTCGTGCTGGTACAGGGTGGCCGCACCCAGGACCTGCCCGGCGTGAAGCTGACTGTTGTGCGTGGCAAGTACGACTGTGGCCATGTGCAGAAGAAGAAGTGACTGGCAGGGCCGCGGCAGGCTGGGGTTCCCCCGGAACCAGAACCTTCCTCTCTGGGTGCCTGCGGTATCCTTGGGAAGCTCTTCCAGCTCTGGAAGTACCTGGTCCTGGGTGCAAATCCTGCCTTTGCCTCTTCCATCCAGAACACCGCTTGCCCGCAGGGCTTCTGGGTGGAGTTAGTAAAAGCCCCCCTCTGTCCACACCCTTGCCTTCTGTGTGTAGAGCGTGGGCTCGGAGGACCTCTTCTGCTGGGACAGGGCCCTGTATTCCCATCTGCTGGGAAGGGGTGGCAATAAACACACAGACCGCCTCCCACTCCCCTGGTTGTGGTGTGACCCTTCCTGTATTTGTCCTCTGCGTGGTATTAGCCACGGACATCCCCGATGGGCCTGTTTGCTCCAGAAAATAGCCCTCCTCACAATATCCCCCTTGTTGGGTTTGGTGAAGATGAAATCCGAGGCCCTAAGTACAGAACACCTGCCAATGGCTACTCTGTGGGGGAGCTCTGGAGTCTGCTAGGCGGCTCTGAGGCCCTTTTCCCTTTCCCACAGGCCCAGGATCTGGGCAAGGACAGCCCGGCTGTCCGGCTTCTTCATCTGTGCTGGGGGTGTTGGGAGGCTCAGAGGGGGTGCGCTGCTGGCCACCTGGGAGCTGCTCCTCTCAGTTATTTTCAGACCCACACACACCTGGGTCTGAATCCCGACTCTCCCTCTTTGTTCTGCAACTTTGGATATATTTATTGAGCTAGTTGGTTGGCCGTGCCCAGCCAGGGAGAGAGCAGGAGACACTAGGGAGGCAGGCCCGAGTGCTTTCCCCTGTGGCACGCCTTGCTCTTGGAGCCTGAATGCAAGGGCGTGGAGAAAAGGAATCTGTTGGCCAGCAGGAGGGGAGCTTCCCATGAGGTAGGGACAGGAGGTGGGATAGGGACGTGGTTTGCAGATCAGCAGGGACTTGGGAATTCTGATAGAAACGGCATCAACCAGGCCCAAAAAGCAGGCCTGATGGGTGGTGCTGGAGCAGGTCACACAGGCCCCACAGCTGAGTCCCAGAGACTCCGAAGACTAAGGAAACGGTTCCCCTTTGACGCCCCTGTTGGTGACCTCAGGGAGCAGACCTTAGGCGGGACAGTCTGTCCTCAAGGACAGCTCTGCTCCCTGCCAGCTTACCCCACAAACATGTGGTCAGGAGTCACCGTCCTGGGTGGTCAGTGACTTTCCCCCACGGTTACAAATCCTGGTTTGGCCTTTGTCTTGTGACTCGGTCCGCCAATTGACATCCACATGTGTAAGAAAACAATTTGCAAGCAAAGTAAACATCTCTGAGTTACTCTGGGAGTAACTTCTCCCACCCTGGGAAGCTGGGGAAGTGGTGAGCAGCCTGGTTGGATCCATGGTTTCTTGCACAGCACGTGGGCACCATGCCGAAAGAGCAGTGAGAGCAGTTCTCTGGAGGGCCGCCGGGAAGGGGCCACATGGGACCCCAACTTGTCCATGGGCACCCGGCTCCCGGCCAGGCTCCCAACCTCAAAACTGCCCTTGACTGATGATGCCCAGCAGACAGCAGTACTTTCTGGAAGGCTGGATCAGTTGGCTAGGACAGGCGGATCCTGACCCTGACACTAGAGTGGGTCACCAGGGCGCCATAGTGCCCTACCCAGGAACGTGTGTCCCTCCCATACTGCTCAAAAGACACGTAGCGGATGCCCTTGCCAAAGTTGGTGAAGACATGCGACACCTGCATGGGAAGAGAGAGTGGGAGGGTGAGGGCCTGTGGGCTCTTCCCTTCCTCCACCCCCTCAACAGGCACTCCCCAAGGACCAGTGAGGTACCAGGCCTTGCTCTAGGCACTGGGAATACAGCAGTGAGGAAAGCAGAAAGGCCCTGGCCAGGGGAAGCTGCTGCTCTAGCAGGGGATTCAGACACTGAAGACAGTTTGGGGGGGTAAGGGGTAAGGGGGTGGGGTTGTACAGTAAGTGAACAAGGGCACCACTGAGGCAACATTTGAGCACAGACCTGAGTGCGGGGAGGAAGCCATGTGGGGATCGGGATGAAGAGTGTTCCAAACAGAGGAAGTCTTAGGACCTCTGGGGGGCTCAGCTGGTAAAGCATCTGCCTTCAGCTTAGGTCATGATCCCGGGGTCCTGGGATGGAGCCCCATGTCAGGCTCTCTGCTTGGCAGGGAGCCTCCTTCTCCCTCAACCCCTCCCCCTGCTTGTGCTTGCTCTCTCTCTCTGACAAATAAATAAAATCTTTAAAAAACAAACAAAAACTTTCTCTCTTTAAAAAAAAAAAACAAAAAAAACAAAAAAACAGAACAGAGAAGCGGCCAGTGCAAAGGCCCTGAGGTAGAAGTGTGCCTGGAGCAGAGATGAGAACAGAAGGCAGTGTCTAGGAGGTAAAAGGCAGATGATGTGGGGCCTTGTGGGCCATGGAAGGACTTTGGCTTCTGGCTTTTCTTATCCTTTGCAACATTTTTTTTTAAATTGAGATAATATTCACCTAAAAAATGCACCATTTAAAACTGTACAACTTCATGGTTTTTAGTATTTTCACAATGTCATGCAACTATGACCGACTCTCTAATTCTGGAACATTTCCATCACCCCAGAAAAAAGCCTCATATCCATTAGCTGTCACTTCCAATTCTTCCCTCCCCCTAGCCTTAACAACCACCCCTCTATCTGCTTTTTCTCTCTCTGTCTTTGCTGCTTCTGGACATTTCCCATAAATGCAGTCCTACAGTGTGTAGCCTTTTGTGCCTAGCCTCTTTTCACTTAGCATCCCATTGTCAGAGTTCATCCATGTTGGAACATGGATTCGCATTTCATCCCTTTTTATAGCTGCCTGGTAAAACTTTGGCTTTTCCTCTGAGATGTAGCCCTAGGAGGGTTCCAAGCAAGGGAGTCTTGTGATCTGACTCACTTTTCAATGGGATCTTTCTGGATGTGTGTTGGGTGGGGAGGGAGGGATAGAGAGAAGGAGATCAGGAGAAGAAACAAGGAAGCCACCTCAAAGGTTTGATTTTTTTTTTTTTTTTTTTTAAAGAGATCACTCCCAAGCGGGAGGCAGGGAGGGCGGAGAGAGAGAGAATCATAAGCAGGCTCCAACAGCAGACTCCATCAGGAGCCTGACATCATGACCCAAGCTCAAATCAAGTCAGACACTTAACTGACGGAGCCCCACAAGTGCCCCACAAAGGTGACTTTGATAACAGGGGTGATGACTCACAGCACAGGCCCCCGTGTGCTTTAGTGGGACTTGAGGCCAGCACTTAAGTTTGTATGCCTCAGTTTCCTCGACTCTAGAATGGGGACAGAGGCAAGGACTTTGACTTACCACTGCATCCCAAGCCCTTAGGGCAGTGCCCAGCACATGGTAGGTGCTCCGCTAATGAAATGAATTAGCTGGTGAAATCTCTCGGAAGAGCACCCTGAGTGAAGTAAGGGCTCCGTGATTGTTAGTGGTTATTGTTAGAGACCTCCAGCCGTGAGGAGGGCTAAGAAGGGAATCCGAGCTGGTGGAAGGTGGGGTGTGTCTTTGCGCGGGTTGGGGCTGGTCTGGAAGACAGGCTGGATGGACCCACCTGTCGGCAGCCTCTCTCCGTCCACTGAAGAACCGGGTTGGGTGAGGCCGAGAACTTGACCACTTCGTTTTCATACACATCCAGGAGGCGGACCCGGAGACGGTAGATGCAGCCACAGTTTTCTCGGGCACCCCACCTGCCAGGTAGTGGTGAGCCCTGATGCCCTCGCCACCCACCCGGTCATGGGGGTGGGAGGAGGAAGGCTGAGGGCCAAGCCTCCCTTACTTTGATGCGGGTCACACACCCCACACTGTGTATGGAGAAGTCAGGGCCTGGGAATTTGTGGGGAGGAGACTGGGTGCTCCTGGGGTGGCTTCTAGGGGCTTGGGCTTGGATGTGTGTGTATGGAGGGGGAGGAGGATGGTGTCTGGGGAGGAACCACAAACTGGAAGAGGAGGAGGCTGGGTATCTTGGTGGAGGAGCCAGAGCCCCCAGGAAGAAACTGGACTTTTTGTGGAGCAGTAAGAGCTTGAAGGAGGAGGCTGAGCGCTTTGTGAAGGAACCAGGTGCTCTGGAACCAGTGCCTGGTGCCAACTCTGCCCCTCTGAGTCCCAGTTCTCAGGGCACAGTGCTCCAACCCTTCCTGAGGACTTGGGTGTCCACAGGCCCTTAGGCTCCATGCTGAGTGTGGGTGATGAGGGTGGCGTGGGTGAGATGGGGTGCCTTGTTTCAGACCAAGCCAGTCAGTGGCCTCCATGTCAGCAGCCCTGGGGTCTGCTAAAGGGAGAGAGGGAAGAGTGCAGAGCGGGGGCCTCTGGGTTCATCAAGGCTCTGCCCTCCCAGCTTCTACAACTGAGAGCATCCCCTCCCCCGTCAGCCTCACCACACAGTAGCTGTGGCCAGGCCAGGGGGTTGATGAGGGCACGGAGGAACCCCTTGTGCAGCACGGCTGCCGGCCCTTGACGGTGCTGGGGGCGGGCTGCCATTATTGACTCACCAGTCGGCCACACAGATCTCGATCTGGGCGCTGTCCAGCAGCTCCTGCCACACCCCCTCCATCACCAAGTCTACAAGCTGCCTCTTGAAGCACCATCTGGGAAGGGGAAGATGGTATAGGGATAAGGCAGAAAGCCACAGCCCAGAAATCACATCCTCCAAGAAGCCCCCCTCCCTCCACAACCCTGTCTGAAGCAGCAGCCCCTCAGGGTTTGCTCTACTGGACAAGATGTAGGATGGGCCGGGCATGCCCACTGGCCTCTTCCATCCCTCCCCCATTCTCCACCAGGCTCTGGGCTCCAGAAGGCTGACTTGTATGTCTCTAGTATTTGTGGGGACTGGAACATGAGTACAAATGGAGGCCCACACTGAGCAGGGAGTTCTGGAGCCTCCTAATAAAGTGCAGAGGCCCAAAGGCTAAGGTTGAACTGCCTGTAGTTTCCCCTACCCTCCCCTTCCTGCTGGGTCAGCCAATGGGAGCGCTAACAGGAGAGCGAAGGGCGAGAGGAGAGTAAAACCGGGTTATTTAGCCTCCCAGCTCCCTCCAAGGGATCAGTGTAGGACTGCTGTGTCTCCCCACGAAAGGGCACAGGTCCGTGTGCCCTTCTCCTCACAGCCTTCCCTGTCTATGGTTCAGGAACTGCTTCCACCCCTTATCCTTGTCAGGTCTCCAGCCAGTAATGACCCTTTCCCTCTCCGTTGCTAGCCTGGGGTTCATGGAGTATCCCTTATGGTCTGCCCTCACTTTTGTAAACAGTGGATTCAAATCCCCTGATTTGAATATGCCATCTAAAGAT